TCCATGGCAGGGCCATAGGGCCAACACTTTTTATAAAAGAGTTTAGTGTGTTATTCATAGACCATCTACTGCCAAACTCTTCCAGATGCCCTCTCTACCATGTTGCTTCCTCTATGTTGTGGATCTGGGGTCAGGAATGGTTTAGGGAATTCTCTTCCTTCATTAAGCTTCTGGGAAATATATTTATCTGTTTATGTTGTTGTGTTTACTTAAAAATTCAGAAGACTCCCCCTCCCCAGTATGTGACATTCAAGGATATATCAGCCTTCTCAAAACAAGTAGCTATTAACTGTCTTATGAGCCATTCTGGGAAAAGTAGAAGACAAATTAAACCAAATTTGAGATATGTGGTGGCATGGAAGCAGGCTGATCCCTAGCAAATATGCATACAGTATTAGGAATACAGAACTTGGCTCCAATCCTAACATGCAATGATAGTTCTCCAAGAAAGTCAGACTAACTTTGACTGACACCTAGGCTGATATACAGTTTAAATTGATACATACTTTAGCACACAAATACTGTAACCCTGCATTTCCATAAAATCCATTCTATCAGCACTAATAGAAATCCATTCTATAAGCCATTTCAACTGGTCTTTAAGCCTCTTCTATTAATCCTCAGTGCCCTTTAAGTTATCTGCATCATTTTCCATCATGTTTCTTGGTAAAGAGACAAAATAAAATTACAGCAAATGCCTGCAAGCAAATATACAAATATTGTATGCATCCATAAATGCTACTACTGTATAATTTTCTATCAGTTCTCCATTCCAGTGACAGATCTTTTTACTTGATTATGCTTGCATCCTCTCAAGTAGCAGCCTTAGTGCCACCAGTTGTCCACTAGGAAGTGTAGATATTGCTAAGAACATCTTTCAGTGAATAAAATTGTAATTTGGTCAAAGGATTTGAATAAAATCAAAAAGTGAGGTTACTCCCTGCATGGCAGTATTAATAGAAGTCATGGCAGCTGGGCATGAAAGAATAGTCACAAGCCCTCGAGAATACATAGTGACAAGCAGCATTACTAATATGCAACTAAGAGTAATAACCACATACTTGCAGTTAAGACAATTCTGAGATGTTTTCTAGGTATATAGTATGTAAATGTGGTTTATCAGTTCCTTCTTCTGGTGGACTCTGGGACCATACTGTTTGCCCAAGGCTGCACAAGTAGCAGAGCAAGTAATCTCATCTACCACAATTGCTTCATGGGATCTCATCTGGTCCCTTGTCTGAGGGGGACAGTGGAAATTCACACTCCTAGTTCTGCAGCAGTTATGTATGAATGGGAATGAAAAAGTAGGGAATAAGGCAAGAGTACAACCTCAGAAGCTCCCTGTACTGGGCCAGATTGTGCACCTAGTGCCATGTAGTCTGCAGTTCTGTTGAGTTTTAGTTTTTCTACTACCTGCACCCCTTCTAACAAGCGATGCCAGAGATTTAGCCTGGATATAATGCAGGTATTCTATCTCTAATCTATGGCCTTTTTCCCATGAAGATTAGCTGGCAGTGTCTCAGTGATTTTTTTTGAATGAAATGCTGAAGTTGTACTCCATTTGTCATGGAGAACCACGATGAATACCAAACCCTTCCACATCCACTGCTTTGCTTATTTACCAGCAAGAAAGAGTAATGGGCAGACACACACAGCCATATTTTATAAGAGTCACTGAGTTAGTGAGGAAAGTTCCAGGCAATGCCAATGAAAACAGTTCACATCAGATTAGGAAAGTAGCACAGCAGCCCTACTCTTGTTTATGCCATAGAAATCAAATGAAATACAAGGGACTTATTTTCAAGTATGATTTGCACTGCAGCCTTAAGCCGTGGACGACTGAGTGCTCCTTCACCACCACCACGTGGCCATAGGTGGTAAAATTCCCAGAGCAGTCTTGATTCTTCCAGCCAGGTTAGAATTTATGAAGCTGAGCATAAATGCACTCTCAAAAATCATCCACTCCACTTGTGGGTAAAGAAATTGCAAGAGAACCTTTTGCCATGTTCCTCTAGCAACCCCCCCCCCCCCCCCCCTTGGGGGAGATNGGACTTACCATTAGCAGTGGCATCAGCATAACATTTTCCTCACCTTGACTGCAAACAGTAGTGACTGTGCTGAAGCCTGGGCATAATTCTGCAAATGTTCACCAGAGCCATGAACTTGCTGCTAAGGGCAATGGGGAGTGGGAGAATAAGGGTGACCATCCACCCACCCAATGGTGGAAAATATTTGGAGCAAATTTTGGAAAGTAGCCATTTTTGTAAAGTTGTGGGCATAAAGAAAAATTCTTAGAAACATGCCTGAGCAACAGTGGCTCAGCTCTAGTTGAAGAGTAGTTTACACATTGCTTTTCACCTCTGATCATATTTTCGAATACTGCTCACAAGCAGCAGCTTATCAAAGCAATGGCTCATTCAATAGAATATTCCTCCATAGAAAACATGTTTGTTATAAAAGGCCCAGGAAGGCGGGTTACACTAGAGAAGCATGGTGTTCTAGCGTTCTGTGTTACTCATAGGAAGTAATTTATTTGTAGAGAAGTATTCCACTATATCCCTTGAGATACGTAATTAAGTGGAATTACGCCACCTCATAGGTGGTCTGTAAGAAACAGGTTCCACAGGCCTCCTGGAAACCATTACACAGTGTAATAAGTGTCTCTTCTTTGCCTTGCTTCTTCTGAATGAGAGGTATTTCATCTGCATGCAGATCCAGAAAAGAAAAAGCTTTGTTCACCATCAATTTCTGGTGCTGAATGATGAACAACTTTCAAATGACAATGAGGAAGCAATCCTTACACTGGGCCATTTGAAACATCTACAAGTCCACGTTTGTCACAGCAATACATTGTAAGAAACCAAACCAATCTGGGCTGTCTGCTGCACAAAGGCACAGGATAAATGAGTCATACTTCATTTTTAAGTGCAAAGCCCTCATTGCAAAACCTAGAAGTAATGAAGAATGACTTCACCTTTATTTTTTGCTAAGGCGCATCAATGGGGGTTGTTTCCTTGAGTTGGAACACATGTTTTTGTGAAGCCAAAAATGGCACATGACTATATACTAGGGTCCCATGAGAAAATCTGATGGCTCATCACCAGAGGCCAAAGGGCTGCATATGTCCATCCTTGTACCTATAGGGCTGCACCTGCTCCCATACTCCCTTCCCAATTTTTCTACAAAAATAATTTTGCAAAACCTCTAGCAGCCCCATGTATTATGATTTTCAGATAAGTAATGGGGGTGCAAGCAGTGCCAGAGGCCACATTTAGGCCCTTGGGAGATGTATGCTGCTCACATCTGAATTACAAGATGAGTGAATACCAGTTCACAGGTCTTTGAGGACTCAGTCCACCATCTGATCACTGAAAAACACAATGTATGCTTTTAGAAAAATAATTCTGAACTCACATGTTCCTAAGGAAAATCATATTTCCCTATATTAAATAAGTCCACTGATTTTATAATCTAGGGCATTTGATTTTAGGTGTAGTCACTGAAGAGGTGTTATTTAACAGGATGAAATTAATTTTCACAAGTTTGGAAAGCAATAAAGATCAGCTTTGTTAAGCTAATTTAATAAAAGGCAATATTAGCAATAAGTATTCCAAATGTCTACAAGTCTTGAATCCAGTCATTGAGTTTGGTCAGTTGAGTGTCTGATGGAGGAAGGAGTCAATAGTCCAGTGTTAAATGACACAAGATAGGCAAATATGGTTTCTTTCATGGAAAGATGGCTGAGACTTTTGCAAGGGTGACTTCCTTCTCCATGGGGATACAGAGCAAATTTGGAATCTTAATAAAGAATAACAATACCGAAATAAGGAATACTGATTTAGAAAGCACAGAGCTTTCTATGAAGCAACTATCTGAATTTTGCATTCAAGTATACACAAATATAATTCTTCCAAATGGCTTGACAATTGCCGTTTGGTATATAAATAGTCTACTAATTTATTGAATGAGATTCAGTTGCCCTTCTTCAAAATAGTACCACTGTTGTAGAAATATTCACATACTGTATTCTAAACATTCAAATTATAAAACTGTCCCATACAGAAAATGCATTTTTTCCCAATACATCTTTCACCCATTGAGAAATTTCAGGAAATTTATGGTAAGCAAATACCACACTGATGTTTGCTGTAGGTTTTTTTGGCTGCTTGGCCGTGTTCTGGAGGTTTTTCTTCCTAACGTTTTGCCAGGCTCTGTGGCCAGCATCTTCAGAGGACAGGAGTTAGAACTCTGTCTGTGTTCTGGTGTAGTGTGTGGGATACTTGAGTATTTATAGGTGTGGGATCAACTTTTTGTCCTTTTCAAGAAACTGGGCAGTCTCCTGAAAAGGACAAAAAGCTGATCCAGCTACAAATACTCAACTACCCCATACACTACACCAGAACACAGACAGAGTTCTAACCCCTGTCCTCTGAAGATGCTGGCCAGAGCCTGGCAAAACGTTAGGAAGAAAAACCTCCAGAACACCGCCAAACAGCCTGAAAAACCTACAACCACCATTGGATCCCAGCTGTGAAAGCCTTCGAGAATACAAATACCATACTGTTTTACATTCTTCTTCACAGCAGCTACACTACATTTTTGAAACTCAGATGTGCCTGCCACTCCAATAAATCCCATTATAAGACTATGGAAATATTCCCAGCTTTTAGAGCCAGGGCTACACTGTTTAGATAGGAAAGCTGGAGTGAGTGATGCAGATGCACAAGAGCAATTTTTAGATAGGTGTTTATGAAACAACAAAAACAAAAGCCTTCTTTCCCATTCAAACAGTCTGATGTCATATAGGAAGACTGAGCAGAGAATCTGGGAAGCTAATTCCCTTGAAGGAATTGTTATCCATCTGCCCGATTATGGGTGACTGGAACTATGCTGTAGGCTTTTTTAATTTCTATTAGACAAGTAACAGAACTTAACTTTCTGCTGAGTAAAGGTAACCGTAAGAAAGCAAGCTTGTATGCATTAAGAAAAACTAAAGCAGATATTGTTCACAGGGTAAAGTATAATCAACAAAGTGCTGTGTTAATATATCTACCTGGTTCCATTAGCATTGACACTGCTAAGTACTGTATACATTTTAGAAGTTCACCTTGTTCTAGTGTTTTCTCTCTTTTTTGCATGAACCTTGGAAGACAGCAAGGTGCCTTATGTCAAGCTGGATCACTGACCCATCCCAGCTGAGTATTATCAACACCGACTGGCACCAGCGCTCAAGAGGCAGTCACTCGTGTCTTTCTCAATTGAGTCTATACCTTTTACATTTAATGTACATGCTCAGTTACAACCCTTACCCAAGTGTTCAGTCACCTGAATAGGACAAGATACAATTTAGGAAAATACACTGCAGTAAATTAGGGTTCCCAAATATACATATTGTTATACCTTTATTCTCCCACCCCACACCATTCTGGAGAGTTTCCAAACCCAAATGAGGGGGAGCATTTTAAGAGGGCTAAGGAAAAAGGAGTGTCAAGATAACTCTGTTCTACATGCAATACTCCATTTGTGAAAGTTAGGATTCAAGCCTGTGTGTACTAGATAGAACACATGAGCAGCAAATTTATCAAGGAGACAAAGTCCCCCTCTCATAGCATTCTGAACCCAAAGAGGAACAATCTTTCCACAATTGTAGCATCTGTTCCAGTGAACACAACTGAGCTGTGCTACAAAGAAAAATATTTCCTCTATGCTTTTTTACAGAAATAGAAGCTAGACTGTGATTGGATGGGCTGATGGGAGGCGAGTTCAAAATCTTTCCTGCCCTTCCCAGCTCCAACAGTCTGGTGCTGACCTATATAGTCCATTGTCTGGGACATAATTAAAATTAGTCAATTAGCTTCAGCATGGTTATTCGTGGAGATCTGTCCCATAGCTAAGAATTCCTTATATGAAGCCAATACAACAATTCAATAAATACATAAAAATGAACAAATCAGTCCTGAAATCCAAAAATTATTATGTCAGGAAAACTTTGTGCTGCCATTTGAAATGTCAGTGTGGACATATAAAATATTCAGGAATCTCACAAAGAACTATAACTGTAATTTGCATATTAGCACCTCTCCTCATGTGGAACACTGAGGGATAACAATATATATTGGTCTCTTGTACACGTTCTTGTACACGTTCATCTGGAATCTTCAGACTTCTTCTACAATACAAACACATATTCTGATATAACTTACCATGGCAGAGGGGGGGGGGAAGGTTCTTTGCAGAGATACAAGAGGAAGGAGTGCTTACCTAATTATTTCTACAGATTACTTCTTGAAATGACCAATGAGAGACTAGTTTAACTGCATGTCCCTGTAGTACATTGACTTATAGATAGTTGGAAATGATAAGAAAGGTCTAGCAAATCTCTTTAATGACCACGCACCCACCCTGCTAACAATTTTTATCTTCCTTTTGGCCTGATTTTCAGCGCCTGTATCTTTGGCTTTCACTGCTAAAGATTTCATTATGTCTTCATGCACCAAAGGATGGACTGCAACAATCCAATCTTCTACTATAAAATACTATAGGACAAACAAGATATAGTTCAATGCGAAGCTACAATGTCCCAAAGGAAAATGTTTAATCTTCTGTCAGGAGAAATGTAGTGTCCTAGCTACATATGGGGCGGGTCTTTGCCACCTCTAAATATGCCACAAACATATCAACAGGCAGTGCTGTTACTAGGTGACGCTATAGGACCTTTGCCCCAGGATGCCAAATTAGAGGGCACACCCCCGGGGCTGGCCTGGTCTACCACTATAGGAAAAGACAAGATAGACACTTGCCTTTTAAAACAGGTCCACCTGGAACTCAGAAGGTTAAGCCTGTGGCCCAGACATGGAGAAGCAGGAGGCAGCAGTGTCCAGATGGACAGCTGGTCTGTTCAGACAATGGGTAGATAAAGATTTCTTTGACAGAGGACAGGTCTATATGAGGCTTGGTAGACCAGACCTCTGGGCTACACAAGACCAAGAAAGAAATAAAAAAATCATGTTATTAATATATGGTTTGCTACACAATATTTCTATGAATGTGTATACATGTGTGTGCATTGTTTTGTGGCTCTGACAGTTCTGCTGATGCCCTGTGCAATGGCCAGGTGTTCTAATAGTGCAATTACATTAATTCACTAACTTTTACCTCATTAATTATACAGCTGATTGGAGGGGTGCATTTTATGCTGCTGGCCCCAGCTGCCAAAATTATAAGTTTATCAAAACATCTCTTGTTGCAAGGTCTGCATGGTCATGATTTAATACTGTTCATATTTAATGTTTGAAATTTGAATCCTATTTCATCTCATCTCATCCTCCTCAGAATGAAAACCCAAACAACATAGTTGCCTGCTCCTGTTAAGATCACAATAATCACTATCTATATTGTACAGAACAGTAGACCCTTTTCCTGTATCTGAAGTGTGGTACCAGAGTAAAAGTAGCAGAAACTTTACATATTGCATCATTTGTAGGCACACTTAAGATATTAATTACAGTCATCAGTCTAATGACTGTAGCCAAATGTTGAACATGAAGGCAGCGTCAGTTCAGTCTTCCTTTAATCCAGTGCTGTTCCAAATTCATGTCGCCAAGCAAGCCTTTTTCAAAATGTAAATTTCCACACGTAGACAAACACTGCTCAGCTGGTATCAGTTTAAGTCTCTATCATTTTAGAGCATAGCACTCAGATTGTCTTGGAACATACTGTATGTTCATGTACACTTCTAGAAAAAGGCAACTGCCCGAGGACAATATGCATAAGCATCAAAAACACACACATAATAAAACCTAGATTTGCTACTAATTTTGTAAAACACCACCAATAATTTAATCCTTGTAAGAAGGTAGAGGGTGTCTGGCTGCTAAAAAGAAACCACACACACACATGCACACAGAGAGAGGCAAGAGAGAAATGGAAATTCATGAATTTATCATGTCCCTTCTGATAAGGCGACGTCAGCATACTGATCATATTAATGTCACAGTTGACTTACTCAGCCTTGCATTTGTCAAAAATACTGAGTGTAAGCAACAGCAATAGAATTCAATATATAGTAGAAACCAAATTTTAAAGCCACAGCTTCACAGAGGGAATTACCATGTCCAAAGCTCTACTCTGTAGGCTACGAATGCTCACTGGGCATACCATAGACCAAACTCTGAATACTGCAATAGACACTGGAAAAATGCCAAAACAGAAAAATTAAATGCAGAATAAGAAAAATGAAGCTTAAAAATCAAGACTTACACACACATAGCTATTGGTAAATCAGGATACATATTTGTCCTATTAATTATTCACAGAAGGCTGCATATTCTGTGTGGCAGACTTTAAACAAGATGCTGTCAGAGGAGAATTGTATGCACAGTTACTTTAAAAGGTGAAGGGGGTTAGTCATGCTGTTTGCTAAATAAAGAAATGAGATTATGGTGGAGGGAAAAACAGCAGGCGGAAACACTTTCAAATCTACTGGAAATTGACATGCAAATTAAGGATGACAAGCCTTACCACACCACCAAAACAAAGCTTCAAAAATAAAATTTTAATTAAAAAAAAACCATACGTCTGCTTGATTTAGACTCGACAGGTAGAAAGTATTTGTTACACAAAAGCTTGGCAATACCAAAGACGGAACAGTGTAATTTATATGATGAGAAGGAATCCTTACCTGGAATGATCTGCCAGTGGCTCTGAATCAACATTGCAAGTATATACTGCTAACCTTGTCCTGCCTAATATTACTGTTGGCAAAGTTGATAAAGACCATAGGAGGAAACAAAAATACACCCATGCAAAGAATATAAAAAATGTACATATAGCTATGTCCACACATTCCCATCTGCCCAATACTGCAGATGGAGATATGGGAGCTACCAGTAAAGACAAAGCTTCCACTCAACTCTTTCATCCCAGCAGAACAGAAGGGGAGGCAAATTCACATGAGATGTCACTAGTAAGACAGAGGACAAAACATCTCAATTGCCATAAATAGTTCTAAAAACACCTTTGCTACCAAGATTAGGTTTGGAATGTAAGAGAGAACAGAAGAAGCCACAAAAATCACACCACAGAAACATCTACAGAAAATATGGATATTCTGTTAATTATGGGGACTCATGGGTTAAACAAGTTTGTAAGCAAGGGAAAATAATGTGTTAGTAAGTCAAGACTCTATCTGAAGCTGATGGGGAGAATCATAAAGAAGAAGAAAAAAGATCCATAATCTGTTTTGAATAGGAGCAGAAAAGCAGCTCAAAGATGGCTAAGTGAGTGTCTCACAATTCTTCAATTTGATACCATGTCCTATAAACATTTTTCTTTTGGGGGACAAATTTGATTAGAATTTCAGTTGGAGCCAACTGGATGACTATAAACAAATTCAGAGGTTACCAGAATACTGTTTAACTTTCCCCCTGTACTCATGCAAAGGAAAAAAAAGTGACTGATACATAAACTTGGTTTTCTCCATTCCAAGCAAACTCTACAAGCAACTGACTTCAAACATTATTTCCAGCTGATATCTACAATTTCTTCCTCACCCTCACAAAAGTTATCAGAAATAAATGGAAGAGATCTATGAAAAACAGACACCCCAAAGAAATCGGTTTCATGTAAATGGAACTGGAAGAATTCATACAGGAAGGTCTTCTAAGGTAGTGCATCCACAATCCAAGGCTTGGGAGATTGCTATTGGCTTTACAAAGTTCAGAAGCAGAACTGCTATGAAAATCACAGTTCTTTCATTTAGAATAAAGATGACATATGCCTCAGTTAAACAGGGAGGTGAGCCACAAAATTCACTTCCAGTATCAAAATCAAAACATAGCTTATTTTCTCAGCATTGCCACTCCTTTTACAGATTTGTTGAAATGCTTTCACATTCTGAGAGAGAACAAATTTAGAAGTTTTTGTCAAATCAGGAGATATCTGATGAACCATTTAACGCAACATAATGCAACGCTACACAGCTAGGTTTAAACTAGTTTCCATAAGAACACTATGAACTGAGAAAGAAGTGCAGTTTTCTGGAGGCACTGCTAGTTGTTTCAGCTAGCCCTCCACCAGCTTGCCCAGCTGAAGTGGATTATACATACTATTAACTGAAACAACTTTATTAAACAGATTACCAGATGCTCCACAGCCAACATCTGAAGAATTACAAAAAGAATGCAAATGGCAAATTGTTGACCTAAAAATCTCTGCAAACAAATCCAATGGATTCAGAAAGGAGCAAGATAAACACAATGATGGAATGCCCCATTCTAGCAGAGGAGAAGACCACCAGTTTGTCCGTTACACAAATTCCACAGCTCACTCTTAACCAGCACTGTTACCAAGAACAAGCTTTCTTCCAAAGTTTGACCTCCTCTGGCTGGTACGGTTCGCAGAACTCTCTCCTGCTTCTTCTGGGCAGAGGGAAAGGATGGGCTCAAGATGGAATCTTGGCAGGTGCTGAACCTCGCTTGTGTCAGACACAAGCTGCACCCCACCCATCAGCTAATACAGCAACAGATTACACAATGAAAACTATTCTAAAGGACTGAACAAATGCCAACTAGTAGACCTGTCCATTCTAGATCCTTTAGCCAATAGTTAGTTCTGAATCAGCTAAACCTGTACACTGCAGGACAGGAGTTGCATTTAGCCAGAGGAACAATATAATCATAGCTGGCTGATGAATACTGTTCGCTTTTGGGCCGCCAAATATCCAAAAATAGCACTGGCACATGCTCTAGAGGTCCTGGCTGAAATAGCTGTAGCCATCAGGCCCTGTCGTCTCCTCTCGTGTATACAGCGTCCTTGGGTAGCGTGCTGTAACAGGAATTCCTCCTGGTATACTGCAGAATGAAACAGGAAGAGGATTACTTAATCTGCTTTAAAATGGATGGGCAAAACACTCACCTACAGCAGAGAAAATAAGAAAACCAGTCAGAGACCTTATATTTGCCATGCAAATACTAATACCTTTGTATTCAGCTGAAGGAGGCTGGCTACTTTTAAAAATATATATGATCTTTAATTTTCAGTTTAAAATAGGAATGTTTAAAAACTGAAGCTACTAAGTTATTATTAGGAAAGCCATTAGTAAATTATTATACAGTATTGATTTATAAGCATGGTAGCTTCACAGTTGGTCTCTAAATATAGCAATGCCTCTTGCAGATACTCCAAATCAAAGGAAGATTTTTTTAAAAAATGAAAAATGTAAATGAAGAATCCTTTGTTTTCCCCCTGAAACATGAATGTTTACTCTCTATCTACCAAACACAGTAATTTCATTTTCAACTGATGAAAATAAATGACTGTAACATGAAAATTTTTAAAAAAGCCTTGTTATTCTCTATCAGTTATGGACACTTTATTTTGCCTGTTGCTTTGTTTTTGTGAGGCAAAGATAAGTCAAGGCAGAGCAAGAAAGCAAATACATAGAAAAGAAGAAAACACAGAATTGTCTAATACACAGGTTCCTATACAGTGGTGCCCTGCTAGACACTTACCCCGCTTGACGATGACATTTTTTTGCGATTGCTATTGCGATCACAAAACGATGTTTCCAATGGGGGAAATCCACTTTACGTTGATTAGGAGCCTGCTTAGTGAACCATTTGTTAGCAAAACAATGTTTTTTCCGGCTCCACAAAATGGCTTCCCTCCCTTCTCAAAATGGCTGCTTTCCAGACGGAAGCTTTGCATTACAACGATTTAGAACAGCTGATCGGTGGGTCTCTATGGGCAATCTTCACTGGACGAGCAAGTATTTCCTCCATTGGAATGCATTGACCGGTTTTCAATGCATTCAAATGGGGATTTTTTTCGCTTGACAATGATTTCGCTTAACAGTGATTTTGCTGGAACGCATTATCGTCATCAAGTAGTTAACTTTACAAATGTTAGAACTGGTAAAGAAACCCTATATGAGAATAATGTATATCTTAATTTAATTTATTTCCGGCCAACTGGAAACAAAATATAGGACACCTTTCTTATTCAGTATCAGGAAGGCTACATGGTTTAGCTACTACAGGCAGCAGAACATTTAAACACTTACTGGTTCTTGTGTTTGAAACCACTGATGTGAGCTTGGTACTGCTCTATGGAGTTTAGTACTATGTTGCAATCTTCACAGGGATACCCTTTCCCAGCTGAAAGACAGTGTTAGATGTGATCACTAAGTCTGTGGAAGTAAACAGTCAAATTTTAATGTCAATTAACAATTGTAAAGTGGAACTCACAGCTACTAAGTCAACGTCAATGCCAAGAAGGCTAAGCAATATAGTCAGCTAAGCAATATCATTCATTGCCTGTGAAAGGTCGTTATCAGTATCCAAGTTGCTTCGTCAATTTTTTCTAGCATATTCTTAATGTACTTTAGTCATGATCAACTACATAAGACATGGGAGATATATGATCTCCTAATGTGTATATTTCTGTTTTAAAGTAATTGGAGGAAGATCTAAATTCGATTGGAATATGAATGCTGGCTGTCACTGCTCCGTATCATGGTGTTAGTTCATGAAAATTGCAAGGAGGAGGATTAGTGTTAATCAACTCCTTTTCTAGATAAGCTGCACTAATCACATCTTGACACCCCACCTCCCAATAGCATAAGAAATACTGGGAAAACTGTTTGTTTATCTTCCACTTATTTTGTGTTGGCTATCAGAGGTAGCATTCTTTGTGTAGACCACAGAGGTCCTGCTTCAATGCTATTTTCTACATGTCTTTTTACTGTACCAGAGGAAAAGTAAAACTCATTTTCAAAATCAGCTATGACACAAATGCATGGTATGCTCCTAATTGTACTGCACTTGCGCTGCATTTTATCATAGAATCATAGATTAGTGAAATAACCCCTGCTCGATGCAGGAATACAGATCAAAGGGTATCTACCAGGCGGTTGTCTAAGTTTCTCTTGAATGCCTCCAGTGTTGGAGCACTCACCGCCTCTCGAGGAAACTGGTTCCACTGTCTTACTGCTCTAACAGTTAGGAGGTTCTTCTTGATATTCAACCAAAATCTGGCTCCCTGTAACATGAGCCCATTGTTATGTGTCCTGCACACAGGGAAGACTGAGAACAAATCCTGCCCCTCCTCTGAATGACAGCCTTTCAAGTATTTATTATCATATCTGTCTTCCCTCTGTCTTCTGTCTTCTTTTCTTACCCTCAGTCGTCTTTTCTCAAGGCTAAACATTTTGGCCAGTTCTTTCTGTCTTTCCTCTTAAGGCTTGGCTTCTAGCCCCCTGATCATCCTTATTACCTTCCTCTGAACTTGTTCCAATTTGTCAACATCCTTCTTAAAGTATGGTGCCCAGAACTAGACACAATACTCAAGGTGATGCCTAACCAGTGCTGAAGAGAGAGGAACTAGCACCTTGTGGGATATGGAAGCTATACTTCTGTTAATGCAGTCTTTTTTTGTAGCCACATTACCCTGCTGGCTCATATTCGCATTCATATTGACGTACAATTCCAAGATCCTTCTTGCTTGTAGCAGCTATCCCCCATGTTGTAACTGTGCATTGGTTTCTTTTTCTGAAGTGCAGTACTTTGTATTTATCCCTGTTGAATTTTTTTCTGTCGCCTTAAGCCCAGTGCTCCAGCCTATCAAGATCATTTGAATTTTGTTTCTGTCTTCCAGGGCATAAGCCATTCCACTCAATTTTGTGTCATCTGCAAATTTGACAAGCATTCCCTGCACTCCCTCAACCAAGTCAGTAATAAAAATGTTGAATAGAACAGGGCCCAGGACTGAATCCTGGGGTATCCCACTTGCTACCTCCACCCAGTTGGAGAAGAAGCCATTAATCATCAACCTCTGAGTATGATTCTGTAGCCAATTGTGTATGGACCCAACACTCGATCTATCTAGACCAGTCCACAGCCTAGGTAGGACCAGGCCATGGACACAGATCTCCTGCCTCCCCTGCGATTGCCCCCCCCCACAAGCACCGCTGCACACAAGCACACCCCACCCCCTGCATGCGTGTGAGCAGCCCCCGTGAGTGCTGGCACACAGATACGTGCAAGCTCCACACACCCCGCAAGCATGCCATGCCTCCCCAACCGGTCTGCGGTTGAGAAAATGTTGGGACCACTGAACTAGACCACACCTAGTTAGCTTTGCTAATCAGAGTATCATGGGGCAAAAGATTTGCTAAAGTAAAGATATATTATGTCTGAAGCATTCTTTCTGTCTATCAGGGAAGTTACCTGATCAAAAAATGAGATCAGGTTAGTCTGGCAGTTTTTGTTCTTGACAAATCTGTGTTGGTTTCTAGTTATTACCGCTTTGTTTTCTCCATTTTCTGCTTTGATGATAAAGCAGTCACTATGTTTGCATAGTGACCGCTTTATCATCTGTTCCAGAATTTTACCCAGGACTGATGTCAGGCTGACTGGTCTGCAGTTCCCAGGTTCCTCCTTTTTGTAGACAGGGACAACATTAGCCCTCCTCCAGTCATTTCGTACCTCACCCATTTCCCATGATTAAAAAAAAGAAAAAGAAAATAAGAAAAAAAAAGACAGTGGTTCTGAGAATTCTTCAATCAATTCCTTCAATATTTTGGGGTGTATTTTATCCGGCCCTGGAGCTCTGAACTCAAGGTAATAAAGTATTCCTCGACTCTTTGTTTATCTATCTCCAGCTGCAATCCTGTCCCCTCCACCTGCCCTTTACATTTGTCTGGAGATTCAGTCTGTCCTATGGGAAAAGACTGAGCTAAAATAGGAATTGAGCACCTCTGCCTTTCCTTTGTCATCTGTTATCATTTTTCCATTTCCATTGAATAGCTGTGTCACTATTTCTTTTCTTTGTCTTTTGCTTCGCACATACCTGAAAAATGCTTTTTATTGTTTTTAGTATCTCTAATCACAGCTCATTCTCAGGTTTTGCTCTCTTTTCCTTGCTACTTGTCTGTACACTGGTGACCTTGTCTTCTTTCCACTTCCTATACATGTCTTCTTTTATTTTGCTTTCAGGCCCTGCCTGAGCTTTTTGGGAAGCCATGCTGACCTTTTTTTGCTGCCTCCTACCTTTTTTTCTTGTTGGAATTGTTTGCAGTTGTGCTTTTAAAATTTCTTTTTTAAAGAAACTCCCAGCCTTTTTGGACTCCATTTCTTGTTAGGACCCCTTGCTATGGGACCTTACTCATCCTTGTTCCGAGATTATTAAAATTCACTTTTTGAAAATCCAGCACATGTGTGTAACTACACTCTGCTTTGGTTTCCTTTGAAATCAAGAACACTAGCAGAACTTGGTCACCCTTGCCCAGTGTGTGTAAATTTTAAAACTTAGTTGTTGCAAATCACAGGTAGTTATATAACAACCTTCCTTCATAAAAATGGTGTGCAACGTAGTCTATGCTGACATATTTTTACCACTGTAATTTTTATTTGAGCTTGCTTATAGAACTGCCAATAAATATGTCTATTAGGCCACCTGGTATTGAATGTCAGAGAGAAATTTAAGAGGAAAAGAATGTACCAGTCTTCATGAAAATACCACACAAGTGGTACCCTAGATGCTCAAAAAACCTGTTTTACTAAGAAAAATTGTGTTGCACTACATTTCAGAATGGCTTCTACTTAAATCGGTTCAAATCACTCATAGAATCAAGAGACTGGAAAGAGACTACAAGCCTCTGTACCTAAAAATTTTAATTTGGGAATTGTGTAAAGTATCCCGACTGTAAATGAATATTAATTATTCTTTCAATTCAGGATTGTGGATATGGGATGTACAAATCTGAGAATTTGGTTATACACTGTGATCAAACATATCAGCCATTCAACTGTATTTCACAAATTCTAATACAAGGTCTGTCTGTCTGTCTGTCTTTCTATCAGAACATTGCATAATTTAAATTTATGGATGTACAGTGGTGCCTCGCTTAGCGATCGCTCCGTTGAGCGATGAAATCGCTTAGTGATGGGGTTTTGGCCATCGCCAGAGCGATCGCTAAGCAATGGCCCCTATAGGGAAAAATCGCTTTGCGATGATCACGGGTAAGCGATCATGGCAAAGCGACCCTTTTTGCACAGCTGATCGGTGGTTCCAAAATGGCCGCTGGAAAAACAAATTGGCTGCTGGAAAAACAAAATGGCCGCCCGCTGTTTTGCCTTGCTTTAAAGGCACCGAAAATGGCTGCCCCTATGGAGGATCTTCGCATAAGGTCAGTTTTTAAGCCTATAGGAACGAATTAAACACGTTTTAATGCGTTTCTATGGGCTTTTAAAAATCGCTTAGCGATTAAATCGCTTAACAACATTTTTCCTGGAACGGATTAACGTCGCTAAATGAGGCATCACTGTATATGAAATATAGGCAAAACTAAAAACAAATTACAGTTTGATATAAATATATTAAACACAGCCCTCTATTTCAAGGAAACAGTCTACAAATCTGAATCAGCTCTTATTTTTTTCTCCACTTGTGTATTTTGAATATTGGCCAAAGGGGGCTGTGTTTTTCAAACAAACTGGTTGCAGCTTAACTTTAGCAAGGCAGTAAAACTATGACATTCACTGGAAATCTCCCCCAAGTAAAATTAGTTTCTGGGAAGAGGGACCTCAGATTTAATTAAATTTCATAAAATGCCGTTGATTGCCATGAGCACATTCACTGGAACCACTGAAGCAACAAAAGAAGATGTAGAACTAAACTGAGGTATGTTTGGAGGCAAAAATGAAACCTTTCTTTCTGTCAGTACATGTAGTGCCATAAATCGATTCTTCATTTAATAATATTGCTCTGATTGTGTGAGCTACAGCAGTGCATTATTTGCTTTGTCTAGATAAGTATGTTTAACAGTTAACAAAGCTTCTTGGACAGCCTCACAGCATCCAGTAACTAGCATTTGCATTACTGTTAGTGCAATGAGCTGTATACAAAATATTCTCAGTAACTTCTAAATGCTTTAAATTTGTGAATGCTTTTACTGATAATTCAGACTCTTTATTTTTTTGTTTTTCTTTTTTCTTTTTGGACAGATGGATAACCTTTCCTGGACATATTTGTCAAATCATGTATTTTCAAAGTTATTTATCTGATAAGGTCCCCAGTAACATTTAGCTCCATGAGTTACTTCTGAAAATATAGTAATAATTTTCTCCTACAGTTTAGCCTCCTTTGATCATTGCTCAAATCCACAGATGTAAACATCTTCCCTCATTAGATGGAACGAACTGGTTCATTATTGCTTTGGTGGGCAAAACTGGAACTAACAGCTGGAAGCTTCAATGACCCAAATTTTGGCTTCTTCTAATGTAAGAAGTGAGAACTTCTTCACACTGGAATTAGAAAATGATGGTTTCTCATTTGCTGAAAATATTTCAGCAGAGGCTGAACAGCCATCTGTCAAAAATTCCAACTCAGCAGGACATTTGACTCAATAACCTATCAACTCTTATTCTGTCAGAGACATTCTGAAAGGTTTTGTTTTAACCACAGCACTCTCTCCAAATTTATCTCTCAACTACTCCTTCAAGTAGTTTACTTAAGTCAACCTATCTACAGTTCCCAACATCTTCAAACAATTTTAAATTTGGAATAAACAGAACTTTTCAGTAAAGTCACTCAGTGCCTACTCCAAATACAGCCTTCAAAATGGGGAAAGGCAAGGATAATGATCAGCTCCAGCATTTCATTTGTAACAGTTTGGCATTCCTGGCTATAGATTGTCTGTTGGAATTTCCCAGCCATCCAAGGTTCCCTCCAAGGTGTGCGGCTGCGCATGCGCCTCCACCTCCCTCCATACCGCTTGTCTCCTCCTCCACACAGCTCCTTTGGTTCTGGCTGCAATGGAACCCTGTTTTGGGGCCGGGGCAGAGTCGCACATGCAAGAGGCAGAGCCTCACCCAGCAGGACTGAAAATTAGAGGGTACGTTACAACCATCTTGTCCTAGATTTTCCATCCTTGTCCTGTTTTATTGGACGTGGTTAAAACGGGTATTAACATGGTGTCACAAATATACCTATTTCTGAAGCCCTTACTGGAAAAGAAATTAACTGCTAGCTGTACAGAAAACTTTTGATCACCATATGGTATTTGATATGTATAGAACCCTATTAGTTACACCCACAAGCATAACTTCATTGACATTAATAACTTACAGCAAATGAACCTGCAGTGTGACTTACTATGTGATAAGAAATGCTTTTGCCACTTACTATGTGGCATGTTGCTGCTGAAACTTATGCCTGTAGCATTGAGGTAGCTCAAGTAGGATTCCAGACAGAGACCTATCTTCAGTTGGCCTAAATTTCTGGCACTAATATATCCTTATTTTAATGCTGGACAGTGCTGAATCCTGTTGCTTTGCATAAAAAGTTACACTGGAACAGGACCATTGAATCAGTGATGATTTGGTGTGTCCACTCCATACATTCTATTGATTCAAATAGGTCTACTCAAGTTGTGACTGGTTACATTAAAGGAAGTTTCACCTAGAGTTTGTCCATTTGAATCAATGGCACTTTCAGAGGAGCTGACTCACCAAATCCCCACTATTCTAGTGTGCCTTACTATGCTAGCCAATAGGGTTTCAGCCAGTGTCCTAAATTTGCACTTATGCTACTTATAAATGTATCTGTACAAGAATTTCCACAACATACCTCAGCATTAATAAGGGGCCAAAAGTAATAATCATAGGTAAATTATAAGAGTGAGATTATATGTAAAATATTTATACATTTGTACATTTGACATAAGGTCTGAGGAAGGAGACTCGTCCATGGAAGCTTGCATTAAAATGCAGCAGTTAGTATTTAAAGTACCACAATGTTTTTGTCTTTATTTTTCATATATACATATGGTTCTGTTTTTGCTTCTGTTTTGTTTTGTGCCTGATATGCTTGCAGCTACTTCTAAAACTACATCACTGAAAGATGTGGTACTCATTCACCTTTTGTGGGCACAGATATAAGACCCCAAGCACTTCTTACAACACCTTTCATATACTAGGTAACTACTTTCTCTATACAAACTGTATATCCTGTAACGTTCTCTGAATATGTTTTTTTTTCTGGATCTAGGATTTCTATCAAAATTCATACACTTCATGTAATTTGTAAATATCTAAAAATTAGAACAATGTCTAACATGTAGCAGTATTTTTTTCTAAAATGACCATAATATTCATTTGTACATTCCTTGCAGAAGACAACTTTTTCTTTTCATTTCCATAGGAAGCTTCCACTATAATACCTGTTTTGTGTTCAGAATGATGTTGTGAACTATTCCAAGTCATTCAGCAACATGTGAAAGCTATGAATATTAAAAGCCATTTGTTTGTTTTTACAAGGCATGTTATATTTTAACTGTAATATATGGAAAGCCTAAGAATTCTAGATGATGTTACAACCACATGACCTAATCTTAAAAATATTCCATTCTCTTAATGAAGGAACAGCTGCCATTCAAGGTCTGAGAACCACACACGGATTTAGCAGGCCTGCACCTACTCCCTGTCTACTCACAAATATTTTTGTTTTTAAGAGGCTTTTTTGTTGGTCTTTCAGTCTCTTACACCTTTTTCTCATACATCTCTGCCACTCTCCTCTTGGCTTTAATCTCCACAGAGCTACCCTTGGGTAGATATTCTAGCATTTGCATTATATACAAGTCTCCATTGCTTTGTCATTTCTTGTGCATTAGTTGTAATTCTTTTATTTCTTCATGGTACTTTCCCTGACTTTATTGTGTAAAACTTCTATGTTGCAACATGTCCTTTTCTTGAACACATCCCATTACTGGAATTTCTTCTCAATTGTCTTTTTAAAAGTTACATTACACTTGCTTTTGTTTCTTTTTGGATGTATTTTAATATTTGCTCTCTGTATTTTAACACTTTTGCCATTTTAGTAACATTTTCTATCAATTTCTCTGATATTTCTACTATAAAGGTATTCACTACAGTTTTCAGACTGCCCAGGGTTGTCTTCTGGCTATTTATGTGTTATTGCCAAGTACTTTCATTTAGGTTACTCTACAAATATCCTATACTGTTAATTTTTAAAACATCTGGAAACTTTGCTGTGAAACACTCACCTGTGGAGGCAGTAGGTTCTTCAGGGGTTCTCCCATAGTGTGCCATTAGCTTAAGTTTTGTCTCCTGCTTTTTGTGTTTCTTGCCCACGTAGTGCTGTTTTGCCATCAGGGGATTATTGAATGTGGCATGGCAGAGATTGCAGAATTTGTCCGGGTCAGAAGTGTTTTGATTCTCTTCATTAGAAGATACAGTAGTGGGAGGAGGTTCAGCAGGTTGTTTCTGGGCAGGTTCAGTTGCTGCAAAAGCAGTTCAAAGGCAGGATCCAAAAATTAAAACACAAAACAATCAAAAGAGCTGAAAATATAATGTTACATAGAAAAAATTGTAGTATCTTTAGTAGGTAAAAAATATCACCTGTGAAAATGTGAATGTCTTTACTGTTTGTGCTCACACATATTTACAGTGACAAAGCAAACTACATATAGTAGCAATCTCTGAGAGCCAGCATGGTAGAGTGGATAGAATAATGGACTACAGCTCAAGTTCCTGTTCAGTCACAGAAACTCACTGGGGATGATGCTGATAAAAGTACTGCTTACGTAATTCAACTACTTTGGAAACTCTGTTTGGGTCACTGTAAATCAGATGCAAGTTGACTGCACATAACAATAAGAAAGTTATCATAGAAATACTTTGGTGCAGGATTTGTTTGTCTATATCACCAAAGTACTCTACGACCATAGTTATCAAGGAAAACACATAATACCACAAACTGAAAATATGCTTACCCCAATTCTCTCAAGCAAAGTCTCATTATGGCATGCAGAGATCACTGTCCTTTGCTTGTACAAAACAATCAAAGGCTATGAACTATTATGACTAGGGCTTCTCTCTCATATACCATGGGACAATTTCTCTGCACTTCTGTGATCATACCTTCTCCTTGAGGAGACTGTTGTTTCAGCTTCAGATTCCTGGCATGCGTCTTGCCTAAATAGTGGGAGTTAGCCACAACAGGTGAGGAAAAAGTCATGTTACAGATGGGACAGCATTTGTTCCTGTCTTCTCCATTGCTGCTTTGCTGTTTGAAAGAAGCAACACAGAAATGTATTGGCTCCAAAGCAGCAGAAGTCTACCAATAAAACGTTCCAAGTGCAGGTATGAGACTGCAGTTTGTTACTGCTGTTCAATATTTTTCACTAAAACTCAACTTTCAAGAAGCTAGGGGACCCCCCCCCCAATTATTCATTTTAAACATGACATCACCCAAGATGGAATTTTGTTTTCAAGGCATGTTTATGACTAAACACAGAACTATCAATCTAGTGTTCAAATTAACTTGAGAAGGCCTATTCTAGTGTGCATACTTTTTTAAAAATGAACAAATGGTCTTTCCCCTTCCAGAATTCCTGAGGGTTATTCCTGGTGTAGAGGTATATTCTTGATTAAGTGAGTATATTTTAAATATATTTTTGCCTTTGACTATGCAGACCTTTGTCGGCAAGGTGATGTCTTTGTTTTTCAAGATGTTGTCTAGGTTTGTCATTGCTTTCCTCCCAAGAAGCAGGTGTTTTTAATTTTGTGGCTGCTGTCACCACCTGCAGTGATCATGGAGTCCAAGAAAGTAAAATCTGTCATTGCCTCCAGATCTTCTCCTTCTATTTTCCAGGAGGTGATGGGACCAGTGGCCATGATCTTAGTTTTTTTTGATGTTGAGCTTCAGAACATGTTTTGCACTCTCCTCTTTCACCCTCATTAAGAGGTTCTTTAATTCCTCCTCACTTTCTGCCATCAGAGTGGTATCATCTGCATATCTGAGGTTGTTGGTATTTCTTCTGGCAATCTTAATTCTGTTTTGGGATTCATCCAGTCCTGCCTTTCATATGATGTACTCAGCATACAAGTTAAACAAGCAGGGAGACAATATGCAGTCTTGTCGTACTCCTTTCCCAATTTTGAACCAATCAGTTGTTCCATATCCAGTTCTAACTGTTGCTTCCTGTCCCACATATAGATTTCTCAGGAGATGGATAAGGTGGTCAGGTATTCCCATTTCTTTAAGAACTTGCCATAGTTTGCTGTGGTCCACACAGTCAAAGGCTTCTGCATAATCAATGAAGGAGAAGTAGATGTTTTTCTGGAACTCTCTGGCTTTCTCCATAATCCAGTGTATGTTAGCAATTTGGTCTCTAGTTCTTCGGCCCTTCAAAATCCAGCTTGTACTTCTGGGAGTTCTCGGTCCACATACTGTTGAATCCCACCTTGGAGGATTTTGAGCATAACCTTACTAGTGTGTGACATGAGTGCAATTGTACGGTAGTTAGAGCATTCTTTGGCACTGCCTTTCTTTGGGACTGGGATGTAAACTGATCTTTTCCAATATAAAAAAATCTGACTAGGGCTTGTTTTTAGGGTAGGTCTTATTTTTGAGGAAACAGGATATTTAAGGACCATTCCTACAAAGATTTCAAGCATATCAGACAACAACAACAACAACAAAACCAAATTGCAAGAGTGTCCAATCCCAGATATTCTCTTTGGTGCCTTACCTTGTAAAGTCAAAAAATGTTACACTGAATGGATCAGATAAGCTTTCCAATCCATTAATATTATTAGGCTGTAATTCTCTAAGATCCAGTGATCATAATTACCTGTTTTGTGTCTAGTTTTATTTTCTTCTTCTGGATGATCTCCTCCTCATGATGAATAGTCATGTATCGCCGAACTTTGTTTGCATGTTTCTTGCTCTGGTAAAATCGAAAAAAGAAGCGCAAGGTAAGGAAAGCAGAAATCCTACACAAAACAGTTTCAAGAGCTGCCTTTAGTTTAAACTGTACCTGATAATGAGCAAGCTTTTGAGATTCAGAGATCAGCACTGCACTGCATACTTTGCACTGGGTGTCTGTGAAGATATGGCTGTTCTCTTTGATCAGACGATCCACTGTAAAAAGTATACCAATATTAAAAACAAATGGAAAGCTATGACAAAGATGCAACTATCAAGAATTCTGCCAGTGTCAATTGCACAGATGACCATAGCAACTTCAAAAATAAATTAAGTGAAGACCTTGTGGCAAACACTGGATTCAGAGTTTTTGTTGTCGTAAATAACAGGTCTAACGCTAGTCATGGGAAAATGCAACTACCTGAGGGAGTAAAGAAAGAAAAATGACATTCAATTATTTAATTCTCAGTACCTACTTCAAGACGACAAAAAAAAAAACCCTACATAATTTAGAGGGTGGCTAAAGTCATCCAGTAGTAACTCATAGTTAAGTAACAACACATATACTGTTCCCTTGATCAGACTGGAGGGCAAACTTTAGGACTGAATAATTTAAATGTTTTACAAATTATTAAGACAGAGCAGTGATAAAGATGGAGAGGCAGGAATAAGGTTCATTCACACACTGGGAGACCACCGCAGAGTAAAACAATTTCAAGTGACTTCATTTAATGATTCACCTTGTAAGTACTGTTGTTTAAATCAGCAAAGAAAAAGGCCCAACATTTCTTCCTAGCATTGATCCATGTCCATTTTAAATTCAATGCCAATACTTTCATTAGTCTTCAGCTAAGCAGTCAATTCACTAACACAAATTTTGCAGCAAAATATGAATAGAGAGCATGCCTTCTTGTCCCCAAAGTGGACATAACTAGTGTCCTATGCAGCATCACCATTCTTTAATACAAAGCCTCAACACAGAGTTTCCTGGAGACATCCAAGATCGAAACATTGGCATCAGCTCGATTTGATCCTCAATAGACGTTCTAGCCTTCCTAGTATTATGATCACATGCAGTTACCAGAGTGCTGATTGTGATACTGATGTATCACAATCAGTATCACAATCAGTGTGACACTGGTGTGTAGCAGAGTAAAACTGCGAACAAAGAGATTGTATCACACGAAAAAGGAAGGAAGACCATGTATTGACATCAGCAAGACTCGCAATCAAAGAAAAGTGAGGGAATTTGCCCAAGCACTTGAGGAAACCCTTCCAGGTCCAGCTAATGTAAATGCACCTGAATGATGGGCACATTACAAGAACATTGTGTATAACACTGCCTTGTCCACATTTGGCAAAAAGACCAAAAAGACGGGAGACTGGTTCGAAGCCCATTCAGAGGAGTTAATTCCAGCCATCGAGGATAAGAGGAGAGCTCTAGCAGCATACAAAGCCTGTCCTAGTGAGTACAACTTGCAGGCTCTTCGAGCTGCTCATAGCCAAGTCCAACAGACTGCCAGGAGATGTTCCAACTATTATTGGCTTCAGCTCTGCTCTCAGATACAGATAGCAGCAGAGACAGGTAACATCAAAGGAATGATGGTATCAAGCAGGCTTTAGGTCCAATACAGAAGAAATCTGCTCCCTTGAAGTCTGCTACAGGCGTGATCATCCAGGACCGAGCACAGCAGATGGAACGCTGGGTGCAGCACTACTCTGAGCTACATTCTAGAGAGAATGTAGTAACCGAAGAGGCATTAAATAACATCGAGTGCCTGCCTGTCTTGGAAGAGCTGGACAGTGAAACAACTTTAGCAGAAATAAAAGTGCCCTTGGATTCCCTTGCCTCTGGCAAGGCACCTGGAAAGGATAACATCCCTGTTGAAGTGCTGAAGTGCTGTAAAGAGATTATCACCACCGAGTTGTATGCAGTCTTTCGTCTCTGCTGGAGAGAAGGTGCAATACCACAGGACATGAAGGATGCAAACATTGTTACATTGTACAAGAACAAAGGAGACAGGGGTGACTGCAATAACTACCGTGG